GGAAAAGAAAAAAACAGTCCTTATAACATGGTTGCGGGCAGTGGGCAGCTAAGCTAACATGCCCATGACCTGGTTTGGTTCTAGGCAGGGTATCCATAGCTGGTATCAGAGGGAACTACCTACTTGGGACTGGAGGTGCATGTGGAGAAGGATGGGGACTGAGGAGGGGCAAGACCAAGCTATGGGAACTCAGGGGAAGGCTGGCTGAGAACGGGTCTGCCAGGGTGTCCTGGGGTGGGGGGAGGTGCCTCTGGCAGGCTTCTAGAGACCTAGCAATCCAGACACAGCCCCCAGCACAAGGCCTGGCCCCACCCCCAAGCCTTCATGCCTACTAACCCTGGAGCCAGGAGAACATCCGCTTGGTTACAGTCCTCAAGGGGGCACCTGCTCCATCAGCCCTCCCTGGGGCCGGCTCTGCCTCCACCCGCTGCCCATCTTTCCCTGGCAAGGACAGCAGTTCTGGTGGTTGCTGCTGAGGAGATGCTACTCAGTCCTGAGGCCAGCTGTCCTGTCCCCACAGACCCCTGCAAGCCTCAGAACCCCCTGGTGCAGCCTTCAGCAGGCTGATGGGCCCAGTGCCAGCAGCACGGACCTGGGACCAAGAGAAAGGAAACTTGGAGCCTGCTGGGGAGAGCCAGCAGCTACAGGCTTTCCCCTCTCCCGCAGCCCAGCCACAAGGCCAGACAGGATGGAAACCAGACGACAGGAGAAGCACACAGCCTGCAGGAATCCAGTCCCTCCCTGCCTGGGCCACGCATCCCGGACTTTGACTCAGTTCTTTACCCTCTACACCTCAATGTTCTTCCTGGGGCTCAGTGAGATTGGAGCCACCTCCAGGGGGCGCCGGGGGCTGGACAACCCGGTAGCTGAGCCCTTTAGACAAGAACTAGCTAAGACCCCTAGTAGGCTCTGAGCCACACCTGCTGAGACGGGCCCCACCCACTGCCATTCATAGACCACCACCCCTCCCCGCTGACCAGCCCATCACCTCCACAGGGTTCGCAGGCACCTCTGGGTGGGGCAGGAGGACCAGACAGCCTGGGATCAGCCTGAAGGACAGCTGGCTTTTAGATCCAAGCATGGCTGAGTCAGGGCCCCATAGAGTGGCAATTTCAAGATGCATCCCTACATTTCCTAAATAAACAATGACATCTCAACCAGGAAAGCTTTCTGGAGGTAACAGGGCCTCTTCCAGGGACAAGGAGGGTGCAGCCAGTGAGGGAGGGGAGAAGGGGATTGGGAGAGAGGGCAACATGGCTAGTGTGGTTGGAGTTGAGAAGCAGCAGGAAGACAAGTGTGGCAGAGCTGTGGTTGCTGACACCAGGAGAGGACGGAGGGAAGCAGGTGACAGGCCCAGAGGGCCAAGGGCAATGGCATCTAAGCTAACCTCAGTCTCTGGGTACTGGAGGGCACCACAGGACTCGGGCAGAGTTGGCTGACCTGATGAGGGAGTGCAGGTTTAGAAAAGGGCAGTGACGCTGAACAAAGGGTCTGGGCTGCCCACTGGAGGCCAGAGGCAGGCGACAGTGGCAGCCAGGGGCCCGTAGCTGAGCTTTAATTATTTACAAGGATGCTTCACAGCAGGCCCAGCTCAGCACTCCCTGCAGCCTGGCCTTGTCCAGCTAATGAACTCTGCACCGTGGGAGAGCCCTTTGCAGCCGCTCTTTATTAAACACGGGCCGGAGGGACGGTGGGCTGAGAGAACAAGGTAGGCACAAGGGCATGACACAGGCCTGCTTGTCCATTCAGCCTTTCTAAAAAGAGCAGCTCAGAATTCTCCCCAGGCCTGGAGGGCTTCAGATAATATCTCAAGAGGGAGAGCTGGAGGCTTGGGTGCACGAGGGGGACCCCCACCTCCCACCCATGAGGTAGCTAGCACTTTGAGACTGTGCAGGTCCCATGGCTGGGCACCTCTAGTTACACCTGAGCAACCTCACCTACACTTGCCTTAACCCTGCTACGTCTGAGAAATGTGAATGATCCATGAACTTCACAGGATCGCTCCATCCCACAGACGAAGGGATAATGAGGTGATGCATATAAAACCTCAGCACGCCGCCTGGGCCACGGTGAGGGCTTCCACCTGCTTATCCGCGCCGCTGGTGTCATTTCCCTGGGAGTGGAGGGCTGGCCTCATGCCAGACACCCACCCGGGTGAGGGAGTAACAGGAAGCAGGGCCAAGGGGCCAGCTGGCCTACGTGACCCAGGGCTGCCGCCAAGAATCCCACCAACTTCCCTGGCTGGATGGCCCTGGGTTTCCTTGGGCCCAGCCCTACGGCTTCCAGCGTCTTCCTCCACTTTGAAGCTCCTTTGAGCTCTTCCTTTCCCAAGCCCGCCCGCTCTGGGTCCATCTCCACAGGCCAAGTCCCACCCCCCAGTGGGTAAGAGGCTCAACACTTAGCAGACCTGGGTTTGCATTCCAGGTCCCAAGTTGAGGAGCTGTGTGGCATTGGGGTGTGCATGCTACTTCTTGGAGCCTTGATTACACAGGGTCAGTGCTGCCTGTTTCAAAATCATAAATGCCTTGCTTAGCTACCTCCTCCTCCAGGAAGCCTTCCTGGGTGCTCTCACTTCTGGCCTCCTTCTGATGGTTGATTATTCAGGGCCCGTGTCTGTCCCATCCCCTCTGGAAGCCTGAGCTCCTTTCACTTCACACAGACATGAGCTGTAAATTCCAGCTCTCTGGTCTGCAGGTCAGGGAGGTAGAGAAGGAGGCCAGCTGCGGTCCCTTTGCAGGGGAGGAGTCAGGTAGAAGGCAGGCGGGCTGTGTGGGGTGGAGCTGACGGCCATCAAGGGAAAAGGGGCAAAGAAGAAATTCAATCTGGGCAGCTGCTGTCGAACAGGGGTCTCTCCACCAGAGAAAGAAAGGGCGAGGAGAGCACACTGTGGCCCTGACACAGCCCCCCAAGGCCTCACCTTGGCTCTCCCACTTCCCTCTGCAGCTGCTGGCAGCCCTCCTCCCACCCCATGGACTTCCCACGTGCAAAAGCCATGATGGAGGGACCGGCGCTGTCTGTCAACCAAACTTGGGGAAACCAAGCCAGGTACCGCCAAAGCCCAACACTGTTGGGAAAGCCTCTATGCTGGCCAGCTCGGGCCGCTAACATCCTGCACTTCTGTTCACAGACTCCAGTCTAGAACTCCACTTGGCCCCTCGCATAACTGCATCAGGAGCCAGCCTGGCTCGCGGCACTGCCAAAGTCATCCGACCAACAGGGCTACTTCACTCCTCCATCCTGCCCAGAGCATCTGGTGGTGGGAGGCAGTGGCCCCAGCAGTCATAGATCGGCATGTCCTCTCCAGGGACTTTGCCTACCACACTTTCCATCCTGTCCTCCTGAGCTGGATGACCCTGGGGACAATTGCTCACCTCCCAGAACTGGCATCCTTGTCTACAAACCAGCTGACAAGAAGTGTGCCTGCTCTTCCCAGCCATTTCTCTCAACACTCCTGCTATCAGGGGCCAGAGAGATAAGAGACAAGCAGCCCCAAAATAGCTCCTTTCTCCCTCCCTGGTCCTCCCAACACATTCACTGGGGGGCCACAGCAGGTGGCTCTCACTGATGATGCCGCCAGGGATGCTACAGTCATCCGCTGGCTTCTCCAGCAGGCAGCAGGGTCACAATGAGGAGAGGCACGCTGAAGTCAGGTCAGTTTCTTGATCTCTGACTGTTATAAAGCAAACACTTCTATGCGTTGAGCACTCACCACAATGCTACTGGTCTCATTACCTCCAATCACATTGCTAGAACTGGTCCTCCAACAACCCTGAGAGTTATGTCTGGGCAAGAAGTATTAGCCCACAGGGTCAGGGGCGCCAACTCTGGATTTGGCCTCACAGTTAGGGGGTGAGGCTGTCCAGTAAACATGAGGGATAAGAACCCTCCAGGGCTCAACACAGCATGTCTGTGCAAATGTCCCTCCGCCCTTCCTGTGCACTGCATGCAGGTGTGGTTGGCCTGCTGTCTTCCACTGGAGCTGGCGGGGCGGGTGGTGCCCCTGCGCATGGCACCCAGCAGGCGCTCGGCAATAAACCCACGTTTCACTCGGTCCCTTTGTAACTGCCTGCTGATTTGCTTCCGGTCTCACACACACCCAAAACCCCATGCGCGCGCTGAGAAGGAACTTCAAGATGGCCCGCACCCACCACGCTGACCAAAAGCAGCGGGCCACCTGCACCCGCCGCCTCCAGGAGTTCCCGCACGCCCTCCGGCCTTTCCAGGAAACCAATCCCTTGCTCCTGGCCCCCAGCTTCCTGGTGTGCCCCATGACTCATTCCACGCCAGGCGAACCAGGAAAGCACGGGGCGGGAGGTTGCTGTGAGTGCGCTAGGATAACGGGTGCCTCAGAGAAGGTCTCGGCGTGACTCGGCAGAAAACCGCCGGGTGCCGGGGCCGGCCCCGCCTGCACCTACCACGCCGGCAGAACGCGCGCCGCGGCCGGGCGGGGCCGAGGCCGGGGCCCCTCCGCCCTGGGCGCCAGAATACTACAGGGCCTTCAGCTCCACGATTGGCCGTTCCGGCCACAGGGGCCTATGGGGTGGTCCCAGCCCAGCCAATCAGGGGCCCCGGGGAGCCCATTCATTCACAAAACCGAAAAGAAAAAAGGAGCACGGAGAAGCCCGTAGCTGCGTGGAACTTCGAATCACGCGCGCCCCGCGGGGCCGGGCCACGAGTTATAGTGAGGGAGGGAGGGAGGCTGGAGAGCGGTAAGGCAGACACATGCAAGGACGGCCGCGTCCCCGCCCACAGCTCGAGCTACCCCGGCGCGGCGCGCCCTCTTCCTGGGCACATTGCTCCGGGCTCTGCCTATGGCCCCTCCAGGTCACGCCGCCTGCTGTCCTGGTGCGGCCAGCCCGAAGCGAGGGGGCAGGCTCCTCTGCGGCGAGACCCCGTTCAGGTGGCTCGGAACGGCTGCAGCCACGTGTGCACCGAGCATGGCGCTCCCCCCACTCGCCTCGGTCCCCCAGTCCCAGCGCCCGCCCAGGCGGGTCACTCACGGCAGTCATCCTCGTCGCTGTTGTCCGAGCAGTCGTCGTCCTCGTCGCATCTCCACACGGAAGGGATGCAGCGTCCGTTCCGGCACCGGAATTGGTCCTCTGGACACTCCGGGGCTGGTCCTGCGGTCGCAGAGGGGATTGGGGACAGGTGGTGAGCTGGCTTAGCGGAATTGAGCCCTGCTGCCCACCCCGACCATGCAGCCCAGTCTGCCGGGCAAAGGATGGGGGGAGGGGGTCGCTGCTGGGGACTACGGCGGAGTGGGGGCGTTCGGGACACCCTCGATCCGGGATTCTAGAAGGCGGGTGGCTCGGCGGCGCGGGGAGGCCTGACACAACACACTTAGGGTCAGACATCCCTCCGCACTGATCCACTCACTGCCCGTAGTCCGGGATCCACGCAGGAAGCCCCCGCACACGCGCGGCACCCGCACCGGGCTGGCGAGCCATCCACCTCGCACGCAAATGCGATCTCTCCATCGCGCGCAGTGGTGCCCGGAAACGCATTGTCAGGCGGAGAAGCCGCTGAGCTCCTCTCACCGCCGCGCGGAACGCGAGTGTTAAATAAACCCCAGTGGCGACCCAGCACAGCTCACGCCAAAGGAGGAAAGATCCCCGTCACCGCCCCCCGCAAAGTTCACAGCCCACCAGGTCCCCATTGCGCCCCTCCCCCAAGATCGGGTACCCGGAGGCCAGAGTCCCCCACGCACCAAGCCTGGAGAGCAAGGGTGGGTGGGTGGGTGGGGGGAATCGAGAGCATAGCCCCGGGCTGCAGGGTCCGGAGGAGCCGCGCCGCAACCCGCCCCCCACCGCGGCTGCTCGGCCGCGCTTTGTTGGCCGCCCCGGCAGCGCCGAGCGGAGCCGGGGATCGACGCACGCACCTTGGCTGCCGCGCAGCGAATCCGCTGCCGCCTCGAGATGCTGGAGCTGCAACAGCAGCAGCAGCAGCAGCAGCAGCAGCGCCCGCGGCCCGAGCGCGCCCCGCTCCGGGCGGCCCATGGCGGGCCGGGGGCTCCGGGCACCGCGGCCCGCGCCCCCCGCGCCGCTGCTGCGGCCGAGCCTCAGCCTTCCGAGTCCTTGCCGTGGCGCCGGAGCTGCCGCTGCCCCCGCCGCCGCCGCCGCTGCCGCCCGCTCCGGCTCCTCGGCTGCATTTCAAGCAGGTTCGGTGACGCTCGGCAGCGGGGCGGGCTCAGGCTGGGCGCGCGGCCCCGGCCCTGGGCGGCCGCCGCCGGCGCGCGCGCTCTCTCCGGCTGCCGCCTCCGCCCCCACGCTCCTCCTGCCGCCGCCTCTCCCCTCCTCCTCCTCCCCCTCCTCCTCCTCCTCCTGTCCTTGGTCCAGAGCGCCTTCCACGACCCTGCTCGCGGCCCACGCGAGTGCAAATGCCGTGATGAGCTAGGAGAGGCCTCTGCCACTGGAGGTAGCCGCAAGTCAGGCATAGACTGCCTGGAGGAAGTGATGGGCCATCGGAGCTAAGGGATGCCTAGGAGAGCCTGCGCTCGAGAAGGAAAGACATTCCGGGGCGCACATGCCTGAGTGGCGTGCTTGAAAGCAGCGGAGGGGGCTAGTAGGGGCTCAGCCGCTAAGGTGTACGAGGTGGGCATTGGGCAGGACCTCTGCACCAGTCACGTCGGTGCCCACTCGCATGCTGCTTTCTCTGCCCACGTGTATCTGTGCAGGAGACCTGCCTGGGTGATCCTGGAGAGGGCTGTGAGGCGGGTGGCACCGGCTATGTCTTCACCTGCGTTCAGTACCCGCCACGGTCTCTGGCAAGGGCACAGACAGCTAAGGACTCATCGTGGCCGCGCCGCCGCTGGGACCGTACACCCCCGGACACTGCTCCCCCGGCCCTTGCAGTCCCCACTCTCCGCCGGCCTAAGACACGTAGAGAGGCAGAGCCCGAACCAGGGCTCAGCACCCGGCTAGTGAGCCTGGCCCAACCTCCTACACAGTTTTCTTCGGAGAATGAGGGGTAAGATCCCTGCTTGCAGGTGTTAAGGCCCAGGTTGGATCGGTGTCTCCCCTGCACTGCCTTCCCCCTCCCCACCTCCCTTGCTCTTTTGCCTCTCCAGGAGAGGAGTTAGCCTAGGGCTGGCAGCCACTCTCATTTAACAACCTCCTGAACCACTATCGTCCACTCTAAAGGGCTACCCAGAAAGGGGCTTGGACCCCAGAGAGCCCAGCAAGATGCTCCTGCCATTACCCCCTCCTATCCCTTGGGTACAGGCAGGTAGCCAGCACTTGGGAGCTGAAGGTACCAGCTCCCTACCTGTCCACAACCCCACCTACTCCCTTTCAAACACTCCCTTTCTTCTGGGGAAACTTCCACTTCCTTAAAGCCACTTCCCAGAACCTGGCTGGCACAAAACAGCCAACCTGTCTGTTGCCCTTGGCCCTGCTGTGTTAATTAGAATAACCTTGCATTAAAATGACCGTGGCTGACACTCCCCTCCCATCAGTACCCTGATGCTACGGTCCTTCTGAGACTTCCAGAAAAGGTAAGAAAGTGGCAGGTACTTAGATCTTTCCCGTGAGCAGCCATAACCCCTGGGCATTGACACACACACATACACACAGCTATGGCGGGGGGGGGAAGGTGTGTGTGTGTGAAGCGACACTAACTGTCCTTCTCACAGAAGACAGGAACCTGGAGCCAGCCCAGAGTTAGCCGCCACCCAGATAGGAGCCAGCAGGTTTTTCTCCCTGCTCCGACCTCCCTTGTGCTGGAGAGTCTGGGTCTCACTCTCTCCCTTCCACCCATCACTAGCTCCTCATTACCCAACCACATCTGCTCCCTCCAGGATCCAGCATCCACTGGGGGTGGGAGGACTAGAGCCCATACTGTGCAAACATGCCACATCGTTGGTGAAAGAGGTTTGATGGAGTGGCTGGGACCTGCTCCCCGGCCACGCAGGGCAATGCCCGGAGCATCTCCTTTCCATGCCATCTGACCGTGGACTTCCTATCTTACATGCCCTCCCTTTACCTATGCTTTCTGAAACACCAGTCTTGTTGATTTTGGGGGGGATGAGTGCCTGTGGCATGCTACTACCTCTTAGTCTTTCCCTATAAATAGTAAATAAACTGATCCCCCCAGACCCCTGCTGTCAGTGGAAAACCTTCTGGCATATGGCCATCTTCAGGTTGCTAGCTCCAGCACCTACAAAACAGCCCCCACCCCAACTCCGCTGACCTAAGGCTTCAGCCTTCATCATTTGTTACCATGTGGCATTTTCCCCTATCCATGACAGCTCCCAGGAAGAGGGGTCTGGATGTAGTCCTGGGGCATGCACAACAGGTGCCAAAGCACTCTAGATTCTGTCCAGATTCTTTAAAACAGAGTCCCTCTGTGGCACCTTGGAAGGTCAGCCTCATCGTCCTATGGAGTCCCTGAGGCTCTGGGCAGGCTACCACCTTGCTGATGTGCTAAAAATGAGGGCTGGGGTCTCTTGTGACCATCCCCCTGACATAATTCTCCCCTCCACCTCATGGAAGCCCTATCCTCCCTTTTCTCTCTTTAGGTCAGGAATATGTTCTTTCCACCATGGGGAGCGCCCTATCCATCTGCATAGACTCACCCTGGGAAGCCCTAAGATTGGATGTTCTAGGCAAGAAAAAGCTCATTTATCTTTTGCAATAATGCTTGGCCATGATATATGCTAAAGAATGGGAAAGCTGGGGCTGGTGCGATGACTCAGATGACTAATCCTCCACCTCCATACAAGTGTGACATCTCATGTGGGCACTGACTTGTGTTCCAGCTGCTTCATTTCCATCCAGCTCCCTGCTTATGACCTGGAAAAGCAGTAGAGGATGGCGCAAGTACTTGGGACCTTGAACCTGTGTGGGAGACCCAGAAGAAACTCCTGGCTCCTGGCTTCAGATTGGTTCAGCTCCAGCCATTGTGGACATTTCAAGAGTGAACCAGTGTATGGAAGATCTTTCTGTCTCTCCTTCCCTGTAAATCTGCCTTTCCAATGAAAATAAATAAATCTCAAAATAAAATAGAAAGAATGGAAAAATCTGATTACCAAACAGGACCTTGAACCTTTTCCACCAATTTGATTTATCCTGTAAAAGATAATAAAAATAGTCACAAGTTCCTTATGTCCAGACCTTGGCACTCTGAAGGCCCCAACTTTAGGGGGAGCTGTGGACTCCCTTAGGACCATCCCTCCCTAGGGACATCAGTGTTGAAAGGACAGCTGATGGACATGGTGGATGACCCCCACCTGAGTGATCCTCTACCACCCACAGCTCAACAACCTCCTCAGGCTCAGCTTGTCCATGCTGAGACCATCCTCAGGGGATGATGAGCCCCGCCCCTCCCTTCCAAGCCCTGGTTCTCTTTCATCTGCTACTGGTCCATGCCTCTGCCATTCAACCCTATCTGGTCCCTCTACCAGAGGACAGCCCAAAGTCAATTACAGAAGGCCCTCCTCCCATGCAGATACAAGTAAGCTTTGTCCTCTGAGAGAAAAGCCTAAGGGAGATGGTGGAACAATTAGAATACACTCCCCTTTTTTCCCCATGACAGTCTGAACTAATGTAAACAATAGCTAGGGGAGTTTTCAGAAGACTCTACCCATTTCCTAAGCAATTTCAGGCCCCAACTCTGGTTTTCACCTGGACCTATTGTCTAATCCACATATTCCACCCCTAAAGAAAAACAATAGGGCCTGGCGCGATGGCGCAGTGGTTAAGGTCCTTGCCTTGCACGCCCGGGATCCCATATGGGCGCCGGTTCTAATCCCGGCAGCCCCACTTCCCATCCAGCTCCCTGCCTGTGGCCTGGGAAAGCAGTCGAGGACGACCCAGAGCTTTGGGACACTGCACCCGTGTGGGAGACCCGGAAGAGGCTCCTGGCTTCGGATCGGCATAGTATCGACCGTTGCGCTCACTTGGGGAGTGAATCATCGGACGGAAGATCTTCCTCTCTGTCTCTCCTCTCTGTATATCTGCCTTTCCAACAAAAATAAAAAAATAAATATTTTTTTTAAAAAAGGAAAAACAATGGATCTGGGCTGAGGCTCCGGCCCATTCAGGCTCCTTGGCAGCTCAGTAGCCTGAACAGTGTGACGTAAAAGCCACGCAGGTCCAACTTGGGCCATCTTGCATTGCTTTCCCCCAGGCAAAGGCTTGACTCACTGCATTATCACACCAGCCCCAGGATATCGATGTTCTGATATATAAGCCACTAACCAGGTTCTGAATTCCCCCTCTGGATCTCTATCCTCAAAGAGGTGTGTCATCAAGGGAGCTAATGGCCATTCCTGCGTAGATGTCCTCATTGTCCACCAGTTTCTGGTGATGCTAGAATACCTGATTCCGAATCAGTTCTCCTTCCTGGGTACTTCTCTCAGATCCAACAACTTCACATAAAGTTGGTCAAGCAGAGACTCTATTACCAACGGCTGGTGACAAACCCCCAACCACTCCAGTAGAATTTTAGGTCATTTAGCAAGAGATTTGCATTCCTTGGCTAGGCAGGAATGATGCCTTAACAGAATAGGAAGAAGTCACAGAAGATGGGCCTTCCTGCCTCCGAGGGATGAAGATGAACAAAGTTCTCTGAGGAGGTGGTAGGTACATAGGCAGGTGGCCAGTTGGGATAAACTGAGGTGGTCAGCCCCTCCCCATGACCCTGCATCCTCTAACCGTATCTTCATGCTGCAGAAAACCACTACTTCTGTAAAACTACCACCCACAACTGGCACCTGCTGCAAATATCCAACATGGCTGCCGACCTGCTTCTGCAGTGACTTGCGCTAATCATAATCATATTGTAATAAGTTGACCGTGGTTGACACTTCTTCCTTCACACACCTGACACCACAACATGTTCAATACTTCTGAAAAAAGCAAACTCCACCCCTGTGAATATGCCATTCCTCCAGCTCAAGTAAAGGGATAACCCTGAACCTTGTTAAGCACACTTCACCCACAGGCATACTCACACTGCCTGGCTAGTGTGTGACTTTGCTTCACAAGTAAATCCTATTCCTCTGCTGTACCTCGCTTATGTCTTGTTCTTGAATTCCTTCCTGTGTCAGAGATAAGAACCTGGACTCACCCACCTGACAATATCTTGTTGGTTCAGTCATTCAACAAGTATATTCAGGCTCTGTGCTTGGTCTGGAGTAGCCTGTTAATCAGG